GCGTGTCGAGTGCGCGAAATGCAGGCGAGAGTGCGATTTGCCGGCTGTGCGCGCAACCCTCTGCGGAGATCGTGCGTGTCGAGTGCGCGAAATGCAGGCGAGAGTGCGATTTGTCCGGTCCGCGCGTAACCCTCTGCGGAGATCGTGCGTGTCGAGTGCGCGAAACGCAGGCGAGAGTGCGATTAGCGCTAGACTCGCTAGACCCAGACCAGGCAAATACCCTGACTTCTTCTGAGAAATCCTGTGTGGACGTCGTTCTGCGGAAGCACAACACTATCTTTTCTGTGTACAAAGACTAGTCGCGTGTATCACAGCGACGGCATGGACACCGTTCTGCAGAAGCGTCGTCGCGCCGACTAGACGGCCCAGGCAAACAAAAATAGGCGCGGTACCACAGTGAGCTTCAGCCTCTGATCTCAGCAAACAGCTTGGCATAAGAGACATCTTATTGGTTTCTCCCCAAAGCTCTTGTTTCTCTGGCCAGGTATACTCTTCTACCTTGAGGCGAGGACGGGCAAGGGCAGAAGACGAAGACGAATACTTCTGTACATGTGAAACGTGAGGCAGATTCTACACCTGAGACTCAGGTCCACGCTGATGCATGGATACCAATGATGTCTACATGATGCATGGATGCCAGGCGTGCAATATGATGTTTACATGATAACCAACTGCATGTCTCATACCGTGACTTCTTCCTCACAAATCCTTTCCGCACATCGTTCTGCAGAAGCACAACACTATCTTTCCTGTGTACAAAGACTAGTCGAGAGCTGAACAGCGAGAGTACGCTAAACCATCTACACTCCTGCTATCCGTCTTGATCACAGGCAGTGGAAGCCAGCAGATGGAAAGCCAGCACGCTGGCTACCATCATAGTTGCAGTGGGTAAGCCAGCACGCTGGCTGCCATTGTTGAGATGGCAAAGCCAGCACGCTGGCTGCCATCTCCCCTTACCAGCAGCCCAAATGCTCACGACGCTGAGCTGGGCTGTCACCGCTTGGCCGCCGGTGGGGGTTTGGGAGGCCCGCGCGCTACTTCGTTCATCTCCTCTGACAGATCACTGCTTCGAGACACTTCTGGCATGGTTGCCTCAGCATTTTCTGTGTTCATTCCCGCTCGCTTTTTCCGGTGAGATTCACTGCAGCCGTGCACGCTGCTTTCCCCTTACCAGCAGCTCACATGCTCATGACGATGAGCTGGGCCGTCACCGCTTGGCCGCCGGTGGGGGTTTGGGAGGCCTGCGCGCTACTTCGTTCATCTCCTCTGACAGGTCACTGCTTCGAGACACTTCTGGCGCACCTGCCTCGGCACTTTTCTGTCCTCGTTCCGGTTCGTTTTTTTCCGTGAGCTTTTCCTGGCGCTGTGCACGTTGCTTCTCCCCTTACCAGCAGCCCAAATGCTCACGACGATGAGCTGGGCTGTCACCGCTTGGCCGCCGGTGGGGGTTTGGGAGGCCGCATCACACACAGACACCCACACACTCCCTCAACTTACACGAACACACACATACGCAGACTCATTTCCACACGGACATAGACACACGCACAGAAACCCACACACTACCTCAACTCACTCGACTTCACACTTCTCACTGCACACTTACCGGATAACTCGCACTCTGACTTCCTACGTGATGAAAAATGCTTTCAGGCCACTCGTCGTCTAGTTTGCATCTCTCCGGAGAAGCGGCTGCGACGAAGGAGGTCACCACATTCGCCACACATCATCAAACGTGTGTCCTTTGGAGCCCTTGGACTGTGACAACAACGATAACACTGCAGACGCTGACCTTCTGAAATTTTAGACCAGATTGCTGCTTGCGTGATGTCTGCCGTAAAACAACGAAGCGGCCAGCGAATTTCCTGTTGGGCACGTTCTGAACATGCTCGACAGGGCACTTCCCACAGGGTCCAAGGCATGGTCTGGATATGATCCATCGCCTCACAATTTTCGCGCTGACAAACGATACCAGCCTATATTACCGTCTACACTTTAGATTGCTCTTTTGCACAGCTACCTCGCCCACGTCAGACCTAACGTGTGCTAGCATGTAACTCAAAAATCGTTACCAACCGCATCAAAACCCTGCTTCCTGCCTCCATCCCACTGGCTCCGGAGCCTGCTCTGCGAAAACTCCCTACGGCAGCGGCCTTCGCCTCGATCATATGCTTGTACCAGACGCTCCGCACAATGGGTATGGCCGTCCAGCTGTTGGCAATCTGCAGCTCCACACGTCGCGCAAACGTTCGCATAAATTCAGTTGGAGTTACTTCAGGACTGCTTGGACTTCGTCTCCATCGCTCTGCGCGAGGGTAATCTGGTCCGGATACCATACGCGGAATCTCAAAGGGCATGACCTGACTGAAATACTTGGAATGCCATTGTGGTATAAAGTTTCTATCCAACTGCACCGTCATGTTCGCAAAGTGCACATTTGACTCTTTGCGTGCAAACTTGGCTAGGATCGCGGTCTGCACATCCGGAAAGGGCGTGTCTGCATAGGGATTGACGTCCAAAACTTGGCAGTGTCTCTCCGGATTACACAAAGCTGAAGCCAATTCATTCGAAGGTTTCCTGCCTGGCGCGCTAGCTTTTTCCTTCCAAACGAATGTTTCGTTCTCCACCACCTCCAAGAGACCTGCCCAACGTTGGAAGCTATGACACTGAACCCTTTTTTTTCAGCAAAAATTATATATATATAAATCTTTTCCCCTACACCCTTGGGCCTGCAGGCACGGAACCACGTCGTTCTTCCAATGGCAAACGCGCTTCCGTTTCTGGGTAGTGGCGATACAAGGCACTTTGCATTCGCTGACGCAGCGCCTCAGCCGGGCCTCTCCCACGAAAAGCTTCATGCCCCCGGTGGATGAGCTCATACAATAGCAACAAGACTGCTCCAGGTCTCACAAGCAGAGCTTCACATTGACCAACCAAAGGTCCCAATTCACTGGCCAAAGCAAACCGCACTAGGTATCGCAGACATTCAGGTGAACGTGGTAATTCTTGCATTTCCTTTTCCGTGGTTCGATCTCGTAACTGTCGCAAGATGTCTTCCCAGGGCATGACAAAGGAACTGACGTAGCCGCGCATGGCTGTTCTCCAGCGTTTCTGCCCCAATTTCTCTTGCAATAAATGCCCACGATCTCCTTCCACATAAAAGATCGACGTCGTTGTCCAGATCGGTATTGCTACCAACGTCCCCCATAAAACGGACTTCATGCTTCACCACCACTGCGCTCATGTAGCCCCAGAAGTTGTCGTTAGACAGAGCCATGGGAAACCCAACATGTGCCGGATCAGCTAAGTGCTGCCAGCACTCCACACAGATGGGCACTTGACACCCGAAGCAGATCTCATCCAGACTGTGTTGGCCGCAATTCACGACATCTTCAGGGCAGCACAGGACCTGAAGCTTCTTCCCGTCCGCGAACAACAACTGTCGCACCCACACATTGTCTTCTAAATCTTTCGCATCCTGGAAAGCAGGTCCTTCACCGTAGGCCCGTTTGAAATCCTCTAAGGCAAAAGTCAGGTGGAGAATCTGATCGCCCAAACGAAACAGTTCACCGCCCAGGCGGTAGCTGATCTCGCTCTTTTCTGACAGCCTCACTTTAATCTTCTTGGCAGCACAACAAAAACAGATCAACATTTCCACGGTGTCGCTCGCATATGCTTGTTTCATCAACGCAATAGTCCTCCGGTCAACGCTTGGACCAACGAGGCTCATGTTCTGTTGCTCTTTTTGTCGCATCCCAGCACAATACCATGCCATATTATCTTTGCATACGGCGCCTTCCGTTGCACAACAGTGACGACCTCCCGGCAAACAGTCTCCATGACTCTGACACAAATGACGCTGTAGCTCCTGTAAGTCTGCACCGATCCAGCGACAGCGTCGAAAGGCACAGTGGGCCAACGGCAATCTGACGCCGGACCCCACATCAACCCAACTGCGCAGAGCTTCCGCATCTGCAGGGTCTGCTGGAAACAAAGGCCGATCACGCAACTTTGCCGCGATCTCTCGCACCTGCCTGAATTCCATGTCCTGCTCCGTCATAAAAGCCAAATTTTTTTGGACACGCATTGGCAAGGCATACTCTTCGTCACTATCACTGCTCAACTCCTCCGCATTGTTTTCTTCGTCCTGTGCTTCTATATTTTCTCTTGCTTCTTTCCCGGACTCACATTCAACCTGCTGGTTGACATTTTCTCTGGCTTTTCCCCAGCCTCAAATTCAACCTTCTGGTGGGCATCTACTTTTTCGATGAATTCCACCAGCTTTAACTGATCTTCCGCATTGCTTGCGCTGTCAAATAAAGCTACCATTGAGGCTAATGCACCCGCACACTCTTCCCAAAGTCTTTGCAAGTTGCTAGCAGCAATTTGATGGTAGCATTTCTGGTACCTAATACGTCTAAGCTATCATAATGACAACCGCCCCAATACAACAACACACCGTCATAGCTCTCCAGTCGGCAGCAGCTACTATAAAGTCGTTACTGTTGAGGTGTATGTTGTCCGGTAGCACACACCCCGTTCCAGAAAAGGCACATCGATCGCCAAGACGCGCAAGCCGTTCTTTGCCAGCTTTTCGGTCCCGGAGTGGTTCGAATATCTGTCAGTTGGTTTCGGCGTGAGGCTGTTGGCTCACCCAAAAAAATTGAGCGCCGTTAGGTTCAGAAATCTTTCAGCCTAAAGTCTACTGGTGGGAACGTTCGTGGTGTTCGGGAGGAGCCTTTAAAAGAAAACATTTCGTGGCAGGTGCAGGGAATGGTGCGAGAAGTGCAGATTTCGTGGCGCCGGGGGGGGTGGGGGGGGCAAGAATAAAAAACTTGTTTTGATGTTGCGTGGGAACCTTCGTTGTCTTCGGCAGGAGCCTTTATAAAGAAAGGTAGCAGTTACGCTACCTGAGTTTCCCATGAGAATTGCCCTCTGGAATTTCATTTTAGAGGCCGGGCCCCTCCCCCCCTTTCAACTCCACCCTGGCGCGGCTCTTTGTCAACGGGTAGAAAACGCCGTTAATTAATAGTGTTTTCAGCTCCTCCAGTCTGCAAGAGTGGCCTCAAACCAGGCAATTTACATGGTTTTCTGTGGCTGTCCGGCCAAAGAACCTCGTAAACACCTATGGTTTTTGAAGTGTCTAGGCTTCAAAAATGGTCGAAAAATGACCAAAAACATGGAAACATTTTGTCGGAAAGGTTTTTTTGTCGGCTTTTGGAGGCTTCACACTGGCTCAAAACGATTGTATTTCCACGGGTTTGTGCACCTTCCCGGCACAAAACCCGTAAATTGCGACGGTTTTGGGCCGCTGGGGAGCGGGGCACTTGGCGGCGCCTACAATGCTTAATGTTACATTGTCGTATCTAGTCTGTTGCGCATCGTGTGGCCAAATTACGCTTGTGATGTTGCTGTGCCATGCAGTTTTGCGCGGCCTCGGTGGACAGTGCGTTTGTGTGAGTCCGTGCCATTGGGGGAAGGACAACATTTGTTTGTGTAGAGTTGGTGTGTTGCTGGGGAGCGGTTGATGTCGCTCTTGCGCGGCCTTGGTGGAATGTGCGTTCACGTGAGTCCGTGCCACTCGGGAAACAAGCTGGTGTAGGTGTCCAAGACTGCATCGTGTCGGAGCAGCGTTGCCAATTTGTCCAAAACGTAACATTGCACCGCATCCAAACTGGCAAGTCTCTGATCTGAGCATTTCCGCCGGAGGCGGCTGCGTCGTCTCTCCGTCTCGCTGTCTGTGTCGCCAACAATCACATGATACTCTTCGGCTGCCCACAACAGGGCCAACGCTAAGACACACAAACTCCGAGCAAGATCGCCCTGCTTCACATCCACTCTATCCATGCAGCAGTGTGCTGAAGCACGAAAAAAACAGAATCCACTCCTGTTATTCGTTGGGCCCACACATCCTGCCCAAGAAGCTGGCACATGTTCTCCCTCACCTCTTGCAACATGTCATCGTGGGCCCGCCCTTCTGCCATGTTGCGCAACAGCTACAGTTGCTCACGCTCCTTCACTTGGCTTGTCGAACGCTGTTTCCATAACATGTGTCTGAACACGTTGCGGTCTTCTATATTCCTTTCCTACTGCATTCCTTGGCTCCAAAAGCACCGAGGCCTGGTCCTAGAGCCAGATCGTGACACATCCAGAAAATCTCTGATGGCTGCATAGCTGCTATACGCTGGTCTTTGTTGCACAACACTCACCAGAGGGCAACGTCCCAACTGGCAGCCGCGCGCTGGTCCTGTCACCCTGCTTGCAGCTGCCGGGGTGCACAGAAATCATCTATCTCTTCCACACCAAATTTTTTTTTCCGATTACTCAACAAGTGGACGGAATAAAAACGGCAAAACGCCAAGGACAGCCGCAGAACCCTGGGGCATGAACACAGGTTGGCACCGTCGATGCATGGACTTTGGCAAGTCAATTAACCTGTTTTCTGATTGTACAGTGGTGAGGAAAGGTCAATCAACATGGAATCGATGGAATCTACACTAGTAAGGACTCCTAACAGAAGCGGGTGCTGCAGGTGTTGACCACCACAGGCAACCTACAGTCATCGTCATGTGATCGCAGATCCCTTTAGGGTCGAAGGCAGAGACGTGCCGCCGAACTGACGGCAGTTGGACAGCATCAGATCTCAGTGACTAGCTTCAAGATCAAGGTCTTGCACTTATCCAGAGGAAATCCAGCTGACGCTTGACTTGCAGAAATGCGATCGCCTCCACGAATTCGAAGACGCAGTTCTACAACAACTTCCGGAATCAGCAAGCAGCTGTTGCGCGGCAGAAAGCAAATGAGTTCGTAACAGTATCCAAGCTGAGTTGTGTGTTCATGGACACACTTATTGGTTTGTGCAGCCATGTTGAACAGGTGGCCCAGAACTTTGCCTACAAGGCGTTCGCTGTTGTGCTCTGGTCATTCGGGGCACGCAGTGCGTGTCGCTCGAGGTGGCATCGCTACCGACTGGGTCACCCAGCGGTCGAGGTTCTGGCAATCTCGGCTTCATGTGCAGTCAGGCTCCAGGTTGGACCCACACCAAGGATCGAGCTGGGCTGCTGAGGGACCCAAGGGGGAGGATATAAGGTCATGAAGCAAAATTCCTCAAGTGGGAACCTCTGCAGGCCACATTGGACCCAGGTTGCAGCTCATACCACTGCTTCTCGGTCCTTTGGTACCAAGCGAAGCTATTCCTGTTGGCTATTTTTTTTTGCACGATTGGAGGCGCCAAAACCAAACCAAAAAACAACACACCCCAAAAACACAAAAGCCACCTATAGTGCAACCCCTGCGGCTACACGAACCATGAGCAATCTACAAGCGCAGTGGAGAAGGGTGAAACGGGGCATTGAATTCAGCATCACTCAGTGCATCAAGCACTCCAAGAAGCCCATCGAATGTATCTAGTCTTCACATGGTGGTCACTTCGCTGCCATCGCCATTCAGTGCAGTACAACAGTGTGCGAATGCGAGCGAACGAGGTCAAAATCCTGCCCTCACAATCCGCGGAGGTACACACTAAGGTGATTTGCAAAGGTGTGTGACTTGGTAGAGGCACGTCAAAGACGAGCAAATAGGATATACAGGACGAGTCCACCTATTCCTGTTTGCTAGAGGGAGGGCTGCAAGAAAGAAAGGACAACCTGTGCCGTGACACTTAAGACATTTAAGTTTTGTCTTGCGAAGGCTAAGGTCTTCCCCTTAGAGATCTAGCGTCCTAAGGAGCCCAAAGCAGACGGTTGCAGGGCATGATTTGCAAGATTTCCTTCTTTGCGCATGCAGTACTCATGTTTTTCCTGTTTGTTGGTGGGGAAGCTGCAGGAAAACTGAACCACCAATGCTGTGACTCAAAACTTTTTATCTTGCAAGCTACGGCAGACTACCGCTGCAGGAAAACAGGACAACCCATGCCGTGACACTCAAGTTTTGTCTTGCAAAGGCATTTCCTTTAGAGACCTGGAGTCTCAGTGAGCCTGAAGCAGACTGTTGCAGAGCATGATCCAGAAACCCACGTCTGGAGCTTTCGCTTTTGAATAATTGGAGATGAAGGGTCCACTTGGATTTCCGAGAGGCACAGGGCCTCTGTAAATTCGACCCTTCGCACGCCAAGGTGCCAGGGAGCGCCTACTTCGATCCACCTACTCGGACTTCCGGGCCTCTGTAAATTCGACCCTTCGCACGCCAAGGCGCCAGAGAGCGCCTACTTCGACCTGTCCACTTTTTTCCGCAGCGGTTTTGGCTCAAGTTTTCGGTTCAAACCTGTCTAATAGACAGGCAGGTGGATCAAGGAGAGCTCTCAAAGAGAAGAGTTTTTTCCTCGCTAGTCAGTTTTGAACCCCAACGTGTTTCACACTTGCACTTTGCTGGTTCTTACGGTATCCCGTGATATTGTTTGAACAGTTCGAAACTTCGCTCCCTGCCTTACTTCTTACGGTATCCCGTGATATCGTTTGAAGTTTTTCGCTCATAGCCTCACGATGCTTGATAAAGAAGCCTGTTGCCTCGTTGCTCAGGCTATCTATGATGATTTGGTTTCATCTTTTTCCAATCGTGGCTTTCTTAGAAATCAACTCGGCCCTCGAGTCAATCAGTCTCACCGTATTTTCTTTATTTGTCGCTTTCCTAGTGAACTTTGTACTCTACAGAACCACAAGGACCTTCTCGTCACAAGTGAAGATGATCTTGAGGCCATTCACACGGCTTTAGCCGGCACACAATACATCTCAGTTGTCCTTTTTCAGGTCCAAGCGCATGTTCAGGAAAAGATACTTCAACTCTACCAAGATGCAACAAAGCTTTCCTTTGTGTGTCTTTTCCACGAATGCTTCGTCCATGCTGTCTGTCTTGATTTGGTCCTCGCTATCGGTACGGCGCTAAGGAGACACCTTGCTCGAGTCCACCATGTTTCTAGATACCAAGACTTTCAATTCACACCCTTTGGTCATACCAAGAAAGTCACCAAGAGCATTTACTTTGTTTTGCTACACTCCGCTTTCACGACAAACAGTGTCGAAATAACTTCACCGAGTGTTGAATATACGGAAACTTGGTTATGCAATAGCGTTGTTCTTACGTCAAAGATAC